TTATTAAATGGCAACCCGCTATAAAATTATTTTTCTCATAAAAGCTATACTCTAAGGATTACAACTATCTGCTATATATTAAATTTTTTCAAAAAAAAATTTTTCACAAAAATTGCAATTTTGACAAAAAAAATCGCATAACTCAAAAACAAAACAAAATTTCGTTCTCAAATATACCATCACATTTTTTATATTACTTTAATTTATATTAATTATTATTTTCTGGAGGCAAATGATTAAAAATAAAACCGCTTGGTTTCATACTTTATATTCACCCTGTATAAAGTACAATATGTTTAATAAAAGTGGCAGGTAAATGCCGTTTCATTTATTTAGTCCTCGAGGAGGTTTTTGGTTTGGTTTTACACTTGATGATAGGAAACATCCTTTAACTTTTAAACAAATCTGCATATTTTAGAATAACGTTCATGCTATCGAGTCAATCCATAGCATTTATTAATTGCCACCTTACCATCTAGTAGAAAAAAAGAGTAGAAAACATTGCTGTTATTGATCTTTATCCAAGATGCTACCTATGATGATAATAATACAAGACCTTTAAAAAAGACGTGTTATTGAGGAAATAAAACAACAAATAAATAAGGTTATAGTAAGTAACTTTTATACATAAGTTATTTTTTAGTTATACAATTCTAACTTATAATGTAGCGATCAAGGTTGGTGCAAAATTTAGAATAGAAGGATTTTGTAAAGAAAATCTTCCAAGATTTATAAAAATGGTGTTTTTTACTTGGTCAGAACCCACTTCGTGTACAGTAAGATTTTTTGAATAATAAAGAAAACCATAGTCACAATAAAGACAATTTCAGAATCTTTTTTGTGGTGAGCGAGCACTTTGTAAACAGAGTAAAGAAATAAATATTTTCTGAAAAACTTGAACTCATTTATCTATAGGACTTTAAAGACAAAATATTACTTCTTAGACTGATACAAATATGTCAAAACGCAAAACCCTAGTCGATTAAATGCTTCAATGTTAAATGTTTTAATGTTTTCTCTCTAATTTTGTATCTTTTTTCTCAAAATGTCTTTTATTTGCAGTATTTAGAATTTCATCCCTTGCCCTTGGGTCCAATTTTTCTTTCACCCAAAAAAAAATTGTTTACTACTTCATTTTGTCGTGCAATGGAAAACAGCACAAATTCTGGGCATCTGCAGAAGTGTTTTTGTGTAAACAAGATATAAAAACCAAATATATTTACCTTTTTGATTGCCAAAAACATTGAACGACAAATTCAAAACCAAAAAATATTTTTTAATATTTAATTTAGAYMAAAAATCAAGTTAMACAGAACRAAAGAAAACAAGATATTAACCAAGAAAACATSAAGTATAAATCAAAGAAAACCATCCTAAAACACCGAAAAACTGTGCACAAGCGGCAAAAATATTTAGAAACGKTGGAAATAGAGAAAAATTYRCTTTTTAAWTTTGTGGTTAGCTGCCAAAATGCTGTCAAACAGYGAATTAATAAAATCACCACGTGAAGGCGCCACGGGTATAGTTGCCCTGCATAACCACCCGCGATTCAGAAAAAATAATTCAATTTCAAACGTATTTATGAATGGAGTTTCCAGACCTGTCTATTTTACGATCGTGGTTCAAATCATTCAATAACTCAATCAAAATCATGCGACATCAGAACCTGCAGAAAGAGTTTTTTTCAAAAACAGGACAGTTAATGACTGAAAGGCGAAAAATTTAGACCGTATTATTATTATTTTTTTTTTAAACAGCAATTTCTTAAAACCCAAATTGTTTTAATTCGCGCACGTGCTTAGCAAAATTTGAGTAGGTACAAACTTTGATTGAATGAATTATTAGAGTGAGATAAACACATTAACTAACTGTACGTGAGAAAGAAACAAATGATTTTATTCGATAACACAAGACGACAAAAAATGTCATGTCGTGACAACTTGACAAATTATATATCATTTTGTTCGTCTCAGTGAGACAAATCAAATGCACCAAAAAAATTTTTAAAAGTCCACACACTTTGAACAAAATAATTTTTTTCTAATTTAAATGAATTTAAAATACTTTAACTTTAAAAAAATCATTACTCAATAACTATTAGGCCGATTTCCTTCAAATAAAGACCATTCTAAAGGGATGGCCTTGCCCTTTAGAATGATATAAAACTTGAAATTGAATATTGGTAAACTTTTCTTCGAACAGTGTTCGAAGAAGTTCGAAGTAAATCGAAATAATATAAGAAAAACCCTACGAGTAATTTTTTTTTCATTATTACCACCGCGTAGAGCATCTCTTTATTAGTTGTAATCCAAATTTTCAAAAAAATATACCGAGTAGTTTTCAAGATATGATTTTTTGAAGTTAAGGTTTGCTAATCAAGCATTGCTCCATATAGGAGAAATGCATGTTATTCTTACTTAAAATTGCATTTTTATAAAAGTATTTGTTTTAAGACTCTTCTTTTGCTAAAAATGGTCAATTGCACCTTCTTTGTTCTAATTAGAATAAACAAAAACTGTTTGTTTACTTAAAACAAATAAAGAGTACCTGCGTACACTAATTAAAGCAAATAAAGAGTTTTTTTGTTGTAAAAATGACCACTGATCATTGAATAAAGCGGATCTAGAAGTTTTAGACACGAGCCTTAAATATAAGGGCAAATCTTTTTCAAATCAAATCACTTTCCATTCAGATTTCGACTTGTTCACTTTGTTCTTCTAGCTTTCTGAACTTTTTTTGAAAATGTTCTGAGCAAATGCTTTCTCATCACTTTCGAGTGATGTTAAATGCAATAAGTCACCTGATTTATTTTGTTGGTACATTCTACGATTAGCTTCAGTTAGGTAGTAGTTGTTGTGATAACAGTTGCACACGAAGCAACTGACTTATTGCATTCAACATCAGTAGAAAGTGATGAGAAAGCATTTGCTGAGAAGATTTTCAAAAAAAAGTTCAGAAAGCTAGAACAAAGTGAACAAGTTGGAATCTGAATGGAAAGTGATTTAATTTGAAAAAAAAATGTTCTTATATTTAAAACTACTGCTTTAAACTTCTAGATCCTTTTTGCTCAATGATCAATGATCATTTTTAGAACAAAAAAACTCTTTATTTGCTTTAATTAGTACGCTGGTACTCTTTGTTTGTTTTAAGTAAAGAAACAGTTTTTGTTTATTCTAATTAGAACAAAGAAGGTGCAATTGACCATTTTTAAGCAAAAGAAGAGCCTTAAAACAAATACTTTTATAAAAATGCAATTTTAAGTATGATTAACATGCATTTCTCCTATATGGCGCAATACCTGAATAGCAAACCTTAACTTCAAAAAATCATATCTTAAAAACTACTCGGTATATTTTTTTAAAAATTTGGATTCTTACTAATAAAAAGATGCTCTACACGATGGTGACGAAGAAAAAAAATAGTCGTAGGGTTTTTCTTAGATTACTTCGATTTACTCCGAACTGTTCGAAGAAAAGTTTGCCAATATTCAATTTCAAATTGCATATCGTACTAAAGGGCAAGTTCTTCCCTTTAGAATGGTCTTTATTTGAAGGAAATCGGCCTAATAGTTATTGAGTAATGATTTTTTAAATTCATTTAAATTAAAAAAAAAAAATTGTTCAAAGTGTGTGGACTTTTTGAATTTTTTTTAGTGCATTTGATTTGTCTTACTGAGACGAACAAATGATATAGTCCGGTCAAATTAGTCATAAAAATAGTGGTCAAATAACGAAAATTCCGACAGAGCTAAATTTTGGTGGAGACCTTGGGTATACCATTAGAAATAAAGTGTCAAAAGTCCCCATCGATCCCATGTGTGCTAAAAAAGTTATTCGGGGTCAAAGGTCAATATTTGACGTTTTTTAGATTTTTTTCGAAAACGGCAAGTTTTATCAAAAAAGTAGCTCAGACGAAAATTATAGATCTTAAAATTATCTAC